CTCTTGGTAACGCAGACATTGACTGGGTAGACAGTGCTAAAAATCTTGGCGTAACCATAGATAGCTCTTTGTCTTTCCATGAACATGTGACAAACATTTTCAAAGTATCATTCTTCAAACTCAAATCGCTATACAAATTCAAGTATCAGTTATCAGAAGAAATGAAACTCGGTTTATTTAAAACTCTTATTCACCCCCCATATCGAGTATTGTTATTCAGTGTTTTAAAATATTTTGCCGCAATATAGCAAGCAGAAGTTACAACGTATACAAAATGCTTGCATGCGATTCGTATGCTGTATACCATATGGTGAACATGTCACACCATTTTTGTTAAAAATGAAGGAGCTGAATGTGAGGTACAGTGTCCAATATTTGATAAAAAATGTTTGTTTAAGTTGCTTCAGATTAAACACCTAGTTATTTATGTAGTTAATTAAACAGGCATTCTGACATACATTTGGTCAATTTGAGAATTAACTCATTCAACATACCTAGGCACCGTACTTCCAAATTTCAAAGATGCTTTTCTTATATAGCCCTTTCTTATCTGAATGAAATTTTACCCCTTTTGAATCAAAATTTTTATAAATTTAAGAAAGAAATAAAATCACAGATGCTTACTGCTCAGTGCTAATTTAAAAAAATAAAATTCAATGTATGGTAATGCAATTAAATTTTTAATCTAACCAAAATAATATTTAGAAAATCAAGAGTTATTAGTAACTAGATGATGTATTATTTTTTCTCTTCTCTATCATTGTTATGATAGGAAATAAGTATTTTTATAATTATTTTCTTACACTCACTGTATGATTTTTGGGAGGGATGGAAGACAGCCTTTGGCTAACCCTTTTCCTTTCATGTCTTAATGTATTTCTATGCCAAATGAACGATTTTTTTTTTCACCATAGTGTGCGCCGGTCAGGCCCTATCCCACGAAGCCCCGATACATTCGGGAGTGCGCGCCAGCATTATCAACCCTACACCGTGCGGGGTAAGTGATCCATTGAGTCCGAGACTCATGTGCCTTAAGCAATCGCAGTGGTCTGGATAGAGTCTGCGGAGTTCGAAGAGAAAATCCCGATATTTTTTCTCGTTTATCCTCCTCTTTTCGCACGATATTCTTCTCGCCAGGAGCTGAAAACTCCATGACAAATATCGTCTTGCACTGGTGGTCGAGAAGGACTACATTATTATTATTATTTGATAGAGTTTGAAGAGCACGCATTGAAGACTTATCAGACATTACCTCCTAAACATCTGTGTTGTTCATGATCATGTTGACTATTCAAATTTCTGTCCATCGTTCCAAAAACACATATTTGTGGCATTTTTTATTTCAATTCGTCAATTTTACCAAAAGTTGAGCCCAATACCTTGTCTTCAATGAAGCCACACAACGAAAAGTTCAGAAGGTCTGGTCAGGTTAACGTGGTGGCCATTTAATAGGACCATTATTTTCTATTTCCTGAAAATCTCTGCAAATATTTCTGCGATGTGATGGAGCTCCATCGTGTTGGAAATACTGATATTTTTTCAGAATATTCAAAGGCAAACCTTTTCAAAACTAGAGACTTCAGGAAGAATTTCAAATATGATTTTCTCGTCAAAAATTTTTCGAAAATCAAATCCTTGTGTTTAGCACACCAAACTAAATAATAACTCCGAATCTCTCTTGAGAATTCGTAGTTTCATTCAGGAAGGAATTTTCTTGTCGCCAGTGATAATGAATATGTCTGTTGAACTATCCGTTATTTGTGAATCTACTCTCATCACACCATACAAGTTTGCCATCTACAAAATAGTTTTTTTTCCAGCATAGTCCGTTAAACACAAATGGTGAATTATTCTGACTTCGTAAGTTCTAAAACAATTTCTACTCAAAAGTTTTTCTAACTGACATAGTCCATATAACACTGTGATGTGCAATCTCTTCCAATGATACTTCTTTGTTCTCAATTTTTCGGTATTCCACAAATCCCAAATCGAATGAATATCACTTCATTATTACTGGGAATGTCTTCTGAACCTACCCAAAACGCCAATTTCAGTATCGCCACCTCTTTCAGTTACTGTACAACTCTTAATGGAGGTTTTTCAAATGATTCGGTTTTCACGGCATTTGATTTTTGTGGGTTATAGTGCATTTTCTCTTATTTTATTCGGTTGTTATGTAACTTCACAATATACATACTTCATTTTCTAATATTGGAAAGTCTTCATCCAGCATAATTTAAGTTTTTTTAGAAAAAAAAATTATCGAAACTTCAATTGTGTTAAAAACTGATGAATTATTGGAAACCTCAAAATACAATCAGAATTGAAAGGCATATTTTTTAGGAGAAATTAATTTTTGAGAAAGAAAGATTTTGGTTTTCCATTCTCCATCGTTATACAAAAATAGCAATTAATTTGAAAATTAACTTTATGAAAAGAAGTGAAGCTCATGCGAAAAAGTAACTGTCAAACACAAACTAGAAGAAAAGGCCCTTTCGAAACAACTACTTTCATTTATTGAATTGTGGAATTGGCCGCGGTGGTAGTGCGCCCGACTCACGATCGGAAGACCGTGGGTTCGATTTCCGCCTCGACCAGATATTTTTTTTTAAAGAATTTATCTGGTTGAAGCTGGGATGATTCTACAACCGTGTTAGGAATCACAAGTTAAAAGGTAAGACCTCGTTAGTCCTTAGTTCGCGCGGGTTCTCAACTTCTGAGAGTTGTCGTTCGTATGGGGACGACAGCTGATTAACGGGAAAACAGATTTCAAACAGATTTTTCAAACAGATATACCTTGAATTTCAGCAAATAAAAAATACTTTCGAAACAATTACTCGTATATAAGCATGGAGTTATACTGAAAAACCATTTTTTTATTCAGTTTGTACTCCAAACTTTCATTATGGTATTGAATCAGATATCATTCACAGGATTGCTACACAATATAGTGTATGAAAGAGGTGAAGTTTCACTTACATAGCCACCCTCAATGGCATAAATCCGATGTTTAGAAATAAGATACTTGCATTTTCGCCTGATGGCTGGAATTGAATGACATTCATCCAGGAGGTATTGATTTTTGGAATTATTTGAACTGTCATCGATGACATGAATACATTTAACTCATTCATGACAAACAGTCGTATTTTCATTAATCAATTGAGTGCCTCATCTTGTAATGTTATCCAGACTGGTGCTGAAAAGGCAATAAGGCAAGTGTCTCATTCCAAAATATCAGGTGTCCGACTTTTAAGATGTGAGTGAAATTCCACCTCATTATTCAAGTAGTTGTTTTTAGAGTATTTTTTTTTCATGTAATTCAATGACTATATGAAAGTAGGTACGTGTCTAAAAGTTACTTCTTTTCATGAACTACACCATCTTTGTATAGAGTTCATTTTGAAATTGATTGATTCTTCATTTCCACATTTTTTGTATAGAGATGGAGAAGTAGAAAACCAAAACCCTTTTTCACCAACAATCACGATTGATTTGAGAAAATCATACTTTCAGAACACTGTTGAGTCGAGTCATTCCACATAAAATTGATGTACGAACAGAAATAAAAAATTGTTGGGGCGGGAAAAATACTGCCAAAACTTAGTCGTTAATTAAAATTTCGCTAAAAATAATTCAAAACTAAAACAAGTCACACCTTTTTGTCATATAATGAAAACCAGTTGTTTCAACAAACAGTATCACTTCAGAAACTGGTGAGACCAAATTCACTAAGACATATTCACTTGCTGTGTAATCTACGCCACTGCATCCATGTAGCAGGGGCATTCACAGGCTCTTATACGAAAGCAAGCTTTATCAGAAAAATATACAAAATAAAGATAGTAATGTTAAGAAATGATGTATGGATTTCAGGTGAAAATATATAGTCATACTCATTGCAGCATAATGAGATGCATGTTCTTTATGGAATTTAAATTAAAATTTCAATGAACATATACAACTCGAGATTGTGGCAAGATGAAAAATTTTAAAATTTTTGATACAAATTACTTCTGAAGTTTGCTACAAATAATAAATGTATCTGCTTCATCAATACATATTTGCATCTATAGTGTATTCTGTAGATGTTATCAGCTGTCGAAAATATTTTTCTTGAACTCATAAAAAAATTCAATTAGGAAAGCCGTATGGACATCTGGGAAAATCTAAACATTCATAAATTTAATAGTCATAATTCACTTATCGAGGAACAAATACAAATCAAAACACAACAAGACCTAACATTCAATATATTACACAAAACAATACACACTTATACTCAGACCGTTCACACCGTTCTGAAGAGACCATGCCCGGTACTGATGATGGAGCAAGTACCCCGAAACTATCGGTTGGTGATATCGACCAAACGAAATTAATTTCTGCTTTTCATAGTTAGAAAAAAAATTGCAACAAATCTTTCAAATCGAAGATACTCCTTGCAGCATAATGAGATGCATGTTCTTTCTGGATTCAAAATTAAAATTCCAATGAGCATATACAACTCTAGATTGTGGCATGATGAAAAATTTTAAAATTTGGATACAAATTACTTCTAAAGTTTGCCACAAATAATAAATGTATCTGCTTCATCAATACATAGTTGCATCTTTAGTGTATTCTATAGATGCTATCAGCTGTCGAAAATATTTTTCTCGATAATAATTACTTTGATAGCTTTGTTTCAGTTATTCAATCATTCTCGTAAACCAAGATATTTTTGGCAATCATCAAATGGTAATGATGGTAATTACATTCACCTTCATACATCTATCTCTCTACTGATCACCTCACAATCAATGAAATTATGCATTTCCTTTTTGAACTACGAGAAAAAATTGTCTGAAAGAAGAATAACATAAAATTATAGTGATCGAGTGTAATGTGTTTTTTCTGGTATGAGAATTAGTTGTGTATGATTCACTATTACCAAAAATTCAAAAGTATAAAATGTTACAAAGAAAATTAGATCTCATCATGAGTGCTCACATAGTCTTAAGAGTAGAATCATCATGAATTGGTTGTTGCTTTCTTTTCTCACGTTTGTAGTCTTGGCAATTGTTTTCGCAGAAAAAGACATGTATACTACAAAATACGACAATATTGACATTGACAAAATTTTGGATAATGATAGAATATTTAGAAGTTATATCGACTGTTGTTTGGACAGGGGAAAGTGCACCTCTGACGGATTGGAACTGAAAAGTGAGTAACATTATATTGATCATTCATCTAAATTTCCCCAACTTCTTCAATAACATATAACAATAACATAAGGACAAGATGATTCTTAATTTTTGGCTCTTATATTCAGATATCACTTATTCGAAAATACATTTCAACTGTTTTTCATTTTCTATTAATATTCAAAGAGTATAACCCACGAAGAAGAGAAGAAAACCAAACAAATAACGTCCTTACTATTTACTGTTTCTTCTAGTATTTTTAAAAGCAAGATTGCATATATGTTCACTTGTCCTATTCTCCCTGATAGGATGAATAAGTTACAAAAAGTTTTCCTGCAGATTAATAATAATTTTCATGAATTTTCAGAAAACATCAAAGCTGCAATTGAAAACGAATGTGAAAAATGCAGTGAGGCACAGAAGAAAGCAATCAAGAAAGTCGGAAAAAAGCTATATGAAGAAAAGCCCAATTGGTGGCAGGAGCTTTGTGACCATTTTGACCCAGACAAAAAATACAGAACAAAATATCAGAAGTACATTGACGATGCCCTAGCTGAAGAAGACGATTGAATGAGGAATTCATACTGTTTGGAATTGAGGTCGAGTGCTGGAAGTTATAGTTTCATATATTTGTAATAGTTTTATTTGTTTATCCGTTTCCAAATATATCTCTTCTGATTCAGATGATTATTTCTCTCAATAAAACATGTGCGTCTCGGACGCTCGACAGAAGTGATAACTTAAACTAATCTGAGTCGAACTATTTAATATTGAAATTATTTTACCTGGGAGAAGCTTAGGTTATTACTGAAAATTTTATATAAATCAATATGATAATGTGAGAAAAAGATATTAATTAATAAAATCTTTCATTGAATATTTTGTGTATGCACATATATTAAGGTGAGGTCATTCTATTTGGAACGGAAATGAAATATCTTGGCATTGTCCAAGGATTTGTGGTGAAACTTGGAGTTTAGGTCCCAAACAAATTCATTGGATTTATATGATGTTTGTCACACCAATGATCACTTATGGTGGCCGAAGGCTTCACAGAAAACGGCTCAGACGAAGCTCTCTGGCTTACAGAGACAGGCTTATCTGGCCATCAGTGGTGCCATCAGTATCACACCGTCAGCGGCCATAAAGATCATTCTGGAGAGAGAGGCTAGATGAACTGCATATAGACTTGTGCACATTACCAACTGCACAAATAAATTCAATGCAGAGTGCAACAAACTGTTGGTTTGACACTAGGAGTAACAGCATTCTGGAAATGACGTCTGACTTCATGACTCCAACTGTCAACTACCAACTGCCTTATAAAGTACTGTTCCCAAGTAGAGAGGACTGGATCCTCCGGAAGAAGGAAATATCAAGAGCATATACTTGTTGGTTTACAGATGGAGCAAAATCACCTTCAGGTTCTGGTGCAGGTATTCCAGTCGCAGAACCAGGACAGAGATGTCAACCTGCCTAGGAACCTATGCGACTGTATTTCAAGCGGAAATTTACACTATTGAATTGTGTGCGGAGATAATGGAATAATCTAACCTCATATACAAGTCAATAAAAAAATACTCTCAGACAGTCAAGCAGTGTTGGCTTCTACAGTGCAAATTCTGTATTGGTAGCAAATTGCCAAAAATGACTCTCCTCGATAGGGTGACTTAACTTATTGTATTTGGTCTGGATTCCTAGCCATACTGGCCTGAAAAGCAATGAAGCTGCTCCCTTCCAAAGGAGGGTGCTGCAAGCAGCTTCATCGGACCAGAACCTATCATTGGCATTGATTTAAGCTTTGTCAAACAAACATTGAACACCTGGATGGAAAGAAGATTTATGGACTTCTGGCAGAATCTTCCAGGATTGGCTCAATCTGAGGCGTTTATTCACTCTTCGAAGCTTGATACCAAACAGTTGTTGGACTATAGTAAGGATGAACTACGATGTCTAACAGGCCTTCTCACAGATCACTCTCATCTGCTTCCTCTGCTTCTCTGCTTCCTATTATCCTCAATGTGATTGATCTCACGACGTTTCGACAAAGTCTCATTTGTCATCTTCTGGCAATATCTGTCAAGTGTTCGGAAGTCGACTGACGTTACTCGATCAGCTCCCTACTATATAGGTAATGTGATGTGTGTTACGTGTTCGGAAGAAAACTGTCCTTACACGATCTGATTCCTACTATATAGATATTGATATTGGTTTTTAGCTGAGTTTTTCTTCTTCTTGATTGACCTCTCCTTCCCGTAAAGGTTTGAAATGTTGAATCCAAGGTTCTCACGGAGAAAAATGCTGAACTGATTTCCGGGTTTTGATCCGTGTTCTATGCTACTATCCTCAATGAGATTAATCTCACGAAGTTTCGACAAAGTCTCATTTGTCATCTTCTGGCAATTTCTGTTCAGTGTTCGGAAGTCGACCGACGTTACTTGATCGGCTCCCTACTATATAGGTAATGTGATGTTTGTTACGTGTTCGGAAGTAAACTATCCTTACACGATCTGATTTATACTATATAGATATTGATGTTTGGTTTTACCGGAGTTTTTCTTCTTCTAGATTGCCTTTTTCTTGATCAACCTCTTTTTCCCGTGAAGGTTTGAAATGTTAAATCTAAGGTTCTCACAGATAGGAAAGTGCTGAACTGATTTTCGGGTTTTGATCCGTATTCTGTGCTACGATACTCAATGAGATTGATCTCACGACGTTTCGACAAAGTCTCATTTGTTATCTTCTGGCGATTTCTGTTAAGTGTTCGGAAGTCGACCGACCTTACTCGATCAGCTCCCTACTATATAGGTAAATTAATGTTTGTTACGTGTTCGGAAGTAGACTGTCCTCACACGATCTGCTTTCTACTATATAGATATTGATGTTGGTTTTTACCTGAGTTCTTCCTCTTTTTGATTGACCTGTTCTTTCCGTAAAGGTTTGAAACACGGATTGCTTGTATTTGGGTTACCACAGGTAATATTATTTGTGTTGGATCTTCTCTAGGTTTACTGTTTCTAGGAGTGTGTATTGTTTTTTGTAATATTTGTTCCTCGATAAGTGAATTATGACTGTTAAATTTGTGGATGTTTAAGTTTTCCTCGATGTCCATACGGTTTCCCTTATTGACTTGTTTTATGAGTTTTATGTTCTCTGGTGGGGGAAAATTATGTTTTAATGGCGTGTTTTGCGAGGTTTGATTTATATATTATTGGGTTTGTGTATGCCTTTTTGTGCTCGTCGTACCTTTGGATCAGCTTTTTATTGGATTGGCCGATATAGAATTTGTTGCAGTCCGAGCATTGTATGCTGTACACAGCTATGAAGAAGAAGAAGACAAAAACCTGAACACCTGACCCGAAGACGTTGCACGGGTGCCTGATGGTTTTACTTCAACTCTCTGCGCGGCATTAGCTGGGTAAGTTGTTGTTTTCCCGTTGGGTATATACCACACATACCTACAAATGCGTAGGTCTACATGAGAGGCGAGGGGTGAGGTGTTTTCACCTGAACCTGGAGCATGTCATATGCACTTCTTCAGAATATTTATCATTATACCGACTCCCACCACAGAGTATGTTTGTGGAGTTGTTTCCTCGCTCTGTCTGCAGGTGGCACAGTAGACATCCCACTGAATCAACTGCAGAAAGAGTTAATGACTAGCTGGAATTATATTGGTTTCATCGTGATATTCAGACCGTTCACACCGTTCTGAAGAGACCATGCCAGGTACTAATGATGGGGCAAGTACCTCGAAACCAGTCTATCAGTTGGTCGTATCGACCAAACGGAATTAATTTCTGCTTTTCATAGAGGGAAATAACTTGCAACAAATCTTCCAAATCGAAGATGTTGCACGGGTGCCAGATGGTTTCACTTCAAATATCTTAGTGACATTAGCTGGGTTAGTTGTTATTTTTCCATTGAGTATTTCCCATACGTACCTTAGAGGACATCTGAATAAAATGGGGCTGTACAACGGAGACCTCAGGTGCAGATTATGCACCGAAGGGATAGAAACAGCTGTACACATCTTTTGTGAATGTGAGTCACTGAATCACAGGAGGCAGGCAATATAGGGACGTACAAAATTACATCCAGAAGAATATGACGAACATCCAACACGGAATCTGTACACACTAGTACAGGGAACGTGATTGATGGAATGGGTGTCATGAGAAGATGGGAGAATAAATAAGCCTAAGAGGCTGCAGTGTTTTCTGGAGATTTGGACCAAATGGACAAGTCAGACAGCTCCCAAGGGACCAAAAAAAACCTACAAAGTCGTAGGTCTACATGAGGGGCAAGGGGTAAGGTGTGAATGTGTATTCCCTTTATCAAGACATTAACTTGAAATTATTGTAAAAAGTCAGACGTGGCAATGAGAAAAACAAAGTTAATACTTTTCATCATGTAGCAAAGTGCCACACATTCAATTTAACATTACAGAGAAAAAGTACAAAAACTTATTTTATTTAAACATGCTTGGCATTTACTCGGTAGCCATATTTCTCCTTAACTAGTCAGTCAAGACTACCTTTCGCTATATATTCCGAACGTTCGTCGTGGAGAACGATTCAAAATAAAAACTTGAAAGTTCGTGTTAGTGGGTTTTACAAAATAGCCTTCTCAGCTAAAATATTTTCAACTTCCGGTCTTTCTCCTTTATACCGGAAGTTGAGGGCAACTTCCTTACTTCGAATAGAACACTTTGTATTTCATTACATTTTTTAATTTCTCAGCACATTTTAGGCCCATTTTTGGATACTACGAAAAAAATATATCAAATTCATGAAGGATGTCCTATACCTAAAATACACCCCTGGCAAGATATATCCGATTTTGCGAAATATTTGAAATGTAAATCATTCGAAGCAATACAAAACCAAGAAAGCTTTGAAAACAAATGAACTAATTAACTCTTCGTTGGTAAAAGGTAACTCGACATGAAAATG